TTTTAATTTTGCGTGTTCCTCTCAAAGACCGTCAGCATTCAGTCTGCTCGGAGAAATTAAGTATCTCATTAAGAGGTGCTGACTCTTAGGACGGAACCCGGCTATTTGATCAGCCACAAATGAATGCCGCACCCTAAGAAAAGGCCCATCCTGCAATAAAACTGTGACCCAGTATCTCCAGCTGGATTCGCCACAAAGCCTTTAAGATACTGGATTTTCATAAGATCAGGACTTTTCCAGGCAGTTTGTCAAGGGCTGCCTTTTCCAGGGAAACGCGTACCTTCCTCTAGCGCGGGCCCTTTGCAGACCGGGAAGGGGGCCGCACAGGGTGACTGGAAACCCAGTTACTCAGCCAGCTACAGTGCCTGGGAGTCACTGGGTCAGTCCTCCGGTTTAAGGGCTTCAGGATCCACTATTTCCTTCCCGTGAAGGGCGGCCCTTCAGTGCCCATAGCTTCTTACGGCGATTTGCGGTTATTACAGGAAATAATAGGAGAGGCAGGGAGGAGTCCTGCAGAAATGGGGGGACGATCCATTCCTCTGATGAGGAGCCAGGGTTCTAAAGTGACCAGTGGGTGAGGATCAGGCCTTGGGGGCAGGTTCTGGTGATTCTGCACTGGGGCCTCTGGGCAGCAAGGGAACAATAGAAAGCTAACAGGCACTTCGGGGTCCTACCATAGAAAAGGGAACACGACGTGAGAGGTCTGTGGCCACAGAGACACCTTTGACTAGAGCTGGCCTCTCTTCTCTTCTTGCATTCACAAAGTTCTCCGGAGCCACTTCCTCTGTGCCCAGCGTTGACCGTGAACTCGGGGAGGGGAGTATCCACACAGACAAGGTCCCTGTTCTGTACTTTTTGCCTTCACATTTCCAAATACCTTAACCGGCCTAAACGACTCTCTTATCTGCGCTTCATTTCCTTTCCCTCCTTCTGCCAATCGTCCACACAACTAACACAGCGAACACACCCACCTAGGATAAATAACCCAGTGACGCGTGCGTCCTGGACCTCAGAAACCTCGTATCCTGGAAGGAGGAAAACCCGGGTCGTCAAATCAAATTCCTACAGTGTGCAACAGCGCAAATGGAAATAATTAGCTGTCGGCGGGACACAAAACCTTTCGTACGGGGGTTAACATTCGACTTGAGTTTGGATGTAGACGAGGGGAACGGCGAGCTGTAGTGGAATACGCAGCCGCCTGTGCTCACGGGCCACGCTGCTGAGCTGAGTAACACCCCCCCCCCACCTCCGCACAGAGCCGGGTCCAGGGGCGCGGGTCCCCCGGCTTCAGGGCGCTCGCGGAGTCAGCGGTACCGCGATTTCAACGCGCACCTGCAACTCTAAGCCTCTTGGCTCTTCGTCTCCCACGGAGCAGAACCTGCATTTGCTCACGACTGTATCCACATTATGGAAAATTCTCCAACGGATAACTCTTAAGTCTTCTCTAGCTGCTTCAAGTGTAGACTCAGCAGGAGCTTCTAAGGAATTTCTCATTTCTGCCCTGACTACATACAGTGTGTAGCAAAAGCTAGTGACTTCCAGTCCTGTCCACCACAGGCGCCGTGCGACTACTGCTAACACAGCGAGCATGGAATCTCTTTGCAGTGATTAACTCCGACTCGGTCGCGGAGTCTGCCCGGGCTCTTCCACGGACAGGTGACTCGGGCACTTTGGAGGTAGAGTGTGGCCACCTATTTTCCGGTGGTTCTTAAAGGTTGGCTGGGCATTGAAGATGCCTGCGGAGTTACTTTCTTCCTTTTAAGCAAGAGTCTATATGTGTTCCAACCTATACAGAACTTCTCTCTCCCAGAGTCACGGAGTTCAGGCACCGAATGAGAATGCTTGTCCCTGTGCCGTTTTTCTAGACAGATTCTCACATAAAATCTAGGCAATCTGAATTTGATTGCGGTACAATTTTGCTGGTGTTCCGGTAATACAACAGTGATCTTTAAATACACCAGCCAGTTCGGCAGAAAAACGACTCTCCACTCACTTGGGCCCCTTCCTGCCAGGGATGGTGTGACGGGAGGGGCCACGAGCTGGGAGGGCCAGGCCTGGTTTACTGTTCCTTCCGCTCTCCCTCTTGAAATTCTTGTTTTGGGACAAGGGGCCCTACATTCCATTCTCGGCCAGTTCTGTTTACATCCACGGGCCTCTGGGGTAGCACACGGAGGGCTACTTTTGTGTGGTTGGCCTATAGGCTGGGTGCAAGAGGTGGTCGAAAGGGCTGCTTTGAAAACAAGCGGCCCACAGATCTTTGGTGCGAGCTGCTGGTGGGGGGAGGCCGGGGCCGGAAGGCTCGCCTGGAAAGGAAGAGAGGCCGGGGAGGCTTGCTGAAGCCTTGGGGCAGGGGTGAAGAGCAGAGGCCACAGGCCGGCCTCGCACACACAAAACTCCAGTCCCGCCTGAACCTGGGCTGGGCTCCCTCTCCCTCTCTGTCTTTCCTCTCCAAGCCACCACCTATTTGCCGCTCCCCAGTACAGCGCCGGGACGGAGGCCATGGGAAGGAAAGAGATAAGAGCTAAAGGAAGGCTGGGATTCTCCGGACGGAAGGGCTCAGAGGGACACAGCCAGCCTTGACAGAAAGGAGATGAGCAATCGATCCTTGCCCCGCTATGGCCGCCACGGAGCCCAGGAGGTGCTTGGGCGGTGGATGCACCCCGCAAATCTGTTTACCGGCTACAGGAAATAATGCTGAAAAATGACAATTTCACATGAAAATGCCCATGCGTTTCAGTAATTCTCTACACCAGTGTGCTCCAAGCTCTCTCGTCAAGCCCTCTTGTTTTCTCACTGCCATCCACCAATGACAACGACCCCCTTTTTGAAGCTGGAAGGTAATTCTTCCTCAACCCAGAATAAGGTGGCACGGACTTTTTACTGGAAAGATATACCTTCTTTTCTAATATAATTAAAGACGCAGCAGTCCTTTCCAGAAGTTCACTCTAAAATTGTGTTACATGACTCATTATCTGGCCTCTTCTGCCCGGACGGTGGTTTTGGTTGTAGCTTAGTCCCTCCCCGGCCCTCAAAAACTCTAAAAATATGAATAGACGTTTGTCACTTACGTTTCCCTCTCCCTCCTACTCCCAATGATTAAAAAAGTCCACTCTGCGAGTTACCATAGCTCAGTGTGAGCTACGGATAGCTGTTCAATATTTCCATCACCTCTCCTTTACCAACAGACTCCTTGCTGCATGTGCTTTAACAGATTATCGTGTGCAATACTTACAACTCATTTTTCAAAATAGAAATTATTAGTCCTGTTTTTCCAGTTGATGAGCTGGAGGCTTTTAGAGCTGACACTTTTTGTCCAAGGGCACAGAACTCTGTCTAGTGCCTCTGGCTCTGCCTGGGCTGGTTAAGTGCTCCCACGAGGGGGGAGCCAGCTTATTGGGGTCTGACTCTGGGCCTTGCCATTTCCTGGCTGGATGACCTTGAGGAAGTCACATTACTCCTCTATTTCCCAGATCCCGTATCCACAGTACAATGATCCCTATTATATAGGGTTAAGGAAAGCATTTAAAACAGTACTGGCAGGGGTGCCTGGGTGGCTCGGTCGGTTAAGCGTCCGACTTCGGCTCAGGTCGTGATCTCACGGTTCGTGGGTTCGAGCCCCGCGTCGGGCTCTGTGCTGACAGCTCAGAGCCTGGAGCCTGTTTCAGATTCTGTGTCTCCCTCTCTCTGTGACCCTCCCCCGTTCATGCTCTGTCTCTCTCTGTCTCAAAAATAAATAAACGTTAAAAAAATAAAAATAAAAAATAAAACAGTACTGGCATGTAGTGAATAGTATGTAATAAATATCCTTACTGCTGGCCCTCCAATATGCTCACAATGCTGTGGTCCATCCCGCTGTACGTCGATGAAGCCATGGGTTTCTAAACAACTTCAGCAAACTCCGAGAAACAAAACCGCTAGGGCCATTCCTGCCCTCCAGAGGACAACCTCACAATTAATCAGGCCATGAATGACAGAGGCAGATAGAAGACGTTTGCAGAGACAGTAGAGACGCACGAGAACCAAATGCAACATGTAATCCTTAACCGGGTCCAGACCAGAAGCATTTTCTTTTTTTAAATTTTGCTGCAAAAGACATTTATGGGTGAAACTGGTAAGATTTGAATGTCTGGACAGAGATAGCAGTACTATATGAATTTCCTGTTTTCTGATGGTTGTTCTGTGGTGACAGAAGATAAAACGCAATGGTATGGGAATTCCGTGGGAATTATATATGTACCTTACGGTCAAATATATAATGATATTAATACCCACACATGTGCACAAAGCGAGAGAGCGAGCGAGTGAGAAGAGGGGACAACTGGTAAATCGTGACACAGTAAAACATTAACATTTGGGGAATGTGGGTAAAGGGTGAGGGTGCTGAATCTAGGCTTTGGAAAAGCTGAGTTTCGTTCTAGCCACCATGTCCTCGTGCTCTTAGGCAACTATGTTACACTCTCTGAGCCCGTTTCGTCATCTAAAATTAGGGACAATAAAATCTGCCTCATTGGGACGAATGTATCCGTAAGTTTATAGGTGGGTTTACAAGGATGCAGCCCAATGAGCAAATCACTAATTTACACGGAGCGGCGCGGGCCGGGCTCTTCTAGAAGTCAGAGAAAAGCTAAGGGCCCCCCCACCCCGGGGGTGGGGGTGGGGGTGGGGAGAGCAGCTCAGCTGGAATATCAGGGGAGAACACTCAGATGAACTTGGCACTTGACATTAGAAATTCATTTCTACCAATTCCCCACAGAAGAAAGGTTTTTGGACAGAGAACATATCCTAATTTTTTTTTTTTTTACATGAGAAAAGAAAATGTAAATACGACGAGGCATTCTTGAGATTAATGATTTTCAATCTGCCTCTACATCAGAATCACCCTTTGGAGCTTTAAAAGATAAATACATGCTTGGGCCCTACCCCAGGAGAACCTGATTCATCTGGTCTTGGGGAGGTCCTGAACATTCATATTTTCAAATGGCTCCACAGATGCTTCTGATGTTCACTGGGGCTGCAGACGACTGCCCTAGACAGAGTCACTGAGAGTCGGCGCCCCAGAAATCAGGGCTGGAACGAAGCCCATCGGATGTTGTCGTAAGCGATCCGAAGGAAAGAATGCAACCTATCAGTTACCTCGGCTTTTGCTGGTATTCGCGGTACCCTGGGGGCCCCCGACAGGAGCGGCATGCCAAGGAGACGGGTAATTGGCCTCACACAATGAAATGGGGTGTGTGGGCAAAATGCAGGCAGTGAACTTGAACAGGGTCGTCTGGGTGTTCACAGGAAAGAAATCAAGGCAGGCTCCCAGAGTGAGTTCTATAAACAACCCACAGTGACTCGGGAAGGGATGGCGGGATGTGTTCTGTTGTTTCCCCAAGGACTTGGGCCTATGGGGCAGGTGCTGTCTAGGGTACCATCACCGCAGGCTGACCTCATAAAGGATACTGGAAATGAAACCCAAAGAATCACGGTGCCCTTAAGCGACGAGGACGACGACACGGGGTGTTTGTTTCCTGGGAAGTTCTTGTTCTCCATGTAGTACACATACATACACGCTATACCGCGTACTTCATGCACACTGCAGTTAGAAAAGCTCCGAGACGAAAATAACGGAATTAGAAAAGAGCGACTAAAATTACTTAGAAGATGGGACCTTGCTTTTATAAAGACATATAAGAAAAGTAACCAAAAAAACCTCTCAGATCAGATACAAGCTGCCAGGATGTCTAATCAGAATTTATTGGACAACAAGGGGAGTAGGAGTGGACTTTTTCGCTTGAATCTGGAAAGGAACGTTGAGAGCAAACGTTGAGGTCATTTAAGGTGTGAGGAAAAAGTGACTTCCTTATATCCAAAGATTTGAAAGTTTGAAATGTCCAGGGATTATATTTTGAAAACATCTTTGAAGGGCAAGCTGGAGATGTTCAAGAGATCGTCTTCACCTCTGAGAGTACATGTTATGAAAGGCAATTGCCATATTTTTCCATAGGCCATTCTTTTAAAAAAAAAATTTTTTTTTAAATGTTTATTCATTTTTGAGAGACAGAGCATGAGCAGGGGAGGGGCACAGAGAGAGGGAGACACAGAAACCGAATCAGGCTCCAGGCTCCAAGCTGTCAGCACAGAGCCTGACGCGGGGCTCGAACTCACGGACCATGAGATCACGACCTGAGCTGAAGTCGGACACTTAATTGACCGAGCCACTCAGGCGCCCCCCCATAGGCCATTCTTGACTGTTACCAGCAAAAAAGTTATCCTGGGCTCAATACATTTGTGTGAAATTTTAAGCTTCTTATGATGTACTTGAAGAGTCTGGTGCACAGTTGCCGGTAAAGTGAGTTGGGACTATGGGCCGAGCCGAGGTGGCCAGTGGTCCTGGTGGGGAGACACGAGGAGGAGGAGGAGGGGGTGGGGGGAGACGAGTCACCAGCAAATGCTACAAGACAGGGAGGCTCCCAGCCGTCCTGGGCTCCATCCACCGCCACTGTCACGCAGCGTCCCCGAGTACCACTTGCTCCCCAGGGAAAACCTCAGTCGGCTCCCTACTTCCCACCGTATGACACCAAGTCTAAGTGCTGGCTTGGCTTTCATAAAGCCCGACGATGCAGCCACTAAGACCAGCAAGCTTTTTGTTCCAGTCCTTCTTCCTTTCCTGCCACTCAAAAGCAGAGAAAGGACTTCACCACTTGAAATATCCTTCTTTTACACCCATAGCTCCGGCAGGGCGAGGGAAGCCCTCTTCCCTCTTCCTACACTCCCCACCTGGGCACATGCAGTAGAGGTCATAAACGCTCGCAGAGTCAGTGCGGCAGCGTGTGTTTTCCAGTCTCTTCTTCACACCCTCATCACCCGCTCTTTATCCAAGCTGACGACAGGCTAAAAAGAGGCTTCTCACATAATCTCCATCATTGCCTCCGCCAGTCATGCTGAGGTAACAGTAACAAAAGCTGACATTCGTGAACAGAATGGAAAGGGCCCTGTTCCTACGCCGGCAAAAGGCTCGTTTGCAGTGAACAATTCAGGGCAGTAAAGAACTGGAAAGGATCTCAGGAGGGAAAGGAGTGAGTGGCTATATTCCTATTAAAAAAGGCAAGTGAATAGGGCTTCCAGAAAGAGACAAGTATGACAGAGACATGCTTCAATGCTGTTTCTATCAAGACTTCATCTTAAGTTATTTTTAATCAAGAGTATCCCTGGCCCATAAATACTCGAGTTCTTTGAGTTTTGCAGATAACTTAAAACAGTGAATTATCTAAAGCTTTATCAGTTTAAAGATTTCACTTAGAATAGCTTGGTTTTTAGTTTACAGCCTTATTCTGAATTTGCCTTAGCCCCGTTAAAAGTCTAGATAATTTATGTTTCATATTCTCTTAAAGTACTCGGAACAGTAATGTCAAAGGCTAAACCAGAACTCAACCAATTAAAATAATGGCCTCTACTACCTGCAGACTCTTCTGGTGCGGTTTTAAAGATTAACGTAGACACATTCAAGAAGTATGGCTTCTGTCTTTGGAAACTTTACAGGCGAGAAAGATGGCGTTGTCTCAAGATAATAACCATAATGACAGAAATAACGCCGCTGAAAATAATGTGGTAGAGATTGCCAGTGCATTCTTCATGCCCGTTCTTTTAAGAGAGTTTTGATTTCGCTGGGAGAAGCCAAGTGCAAAGCCTTCATTACCCATGGGTGGAGGGGAGGCCCGTGACTGATTTCAGACCAGTGTCACGTAAGCGAAAGTTGTCGGGTAGGGCTTTTCCAGGAAAGCTCCTTAAAAGCAGGCACACTCAGCTGGTAGTATCTTTTTGCCCTTTAGCCTTCAGTTCTTTCTGCCGGGGCCGAGCACACGAGGCCACGGCAGAGCGGCCCCCTTGGACCTCAGAGGCAATCACGAGGGAAGGGCCAAGATTACCGCAGTGATCTCAGGCCTGAATTCTTGAGCTGCTGAACCAGAGCCTGTCATGGCCCTGCCTCTTCACTTCTTGTGAAAGGTAAGAAAACCTCTCCCGATAAGAGAACTTCTCCTTTGTGCTATTGTTGGCATTTCTGTTCCCAGCAGCCGAATTCTTAGCAGATACAAGGAACAGTAATGACCGCGACAATGACGGTTACCGACAGCGAGAGCGCTGTTCTAAACGCTTTGCAATCATTATCGCTTTTAAGAGTCGCGATTCTCCCTGACCTACGATAGTTATCTGCGGAGGACGGTCCTTGAACCGTTCTTGGGTTCTTGAACCTTCAGCCCGAGCTGAAGTCCAGGCCCCACAGCTAGCCAAGAAGCAGAGTTCGGGTTGGGGTCGCGCCAGCTCACTTGAACCACACGTGCTGTGCCTTCTGCCGCCCGCTAAGAAGCAAAGTCAGTCCACCAAGGGGCTCAGCTGAGGTTCTGGGCCCACGCGAGCTGTTTTCCGGTGCTCTTCTCCTTTACGCTAAACACGCACTGCCAATTAAGCATCTCCAATAAAGTCTCCTAAAACATACAAACCTAATGTTTATCAAACAAACAGAGTGAAGTCCGATCCAGTAATTGCGAAAAGAAAATCTTCCCTACGGGAGGACTCGGATCCACCTGTCCCATTCCTGCCCCATTCCTTGCACTTGGTCAGCCAAAGTATTGTAGCTGGACCTCACCCTCGGTCTGGAAGGGTCTGGCAGGAGACCTCTCTTCGCTGATTTACTCAATCCTTATCCTTTTAGATGAAATCATCACCGAGGGAGCTAATCAGCGGCAGCTTCATCAGTGTTTTCTGCGGCACAGACACCACACCCGCCCCCTGGGACCCCTGACTCCCTAACACGGGTGGAAACGATCTGCCTTCACTGGGACACACTTGGGTTGATTTTGAAAAAAACAAAACAAAAACAAAACAAATCACTCTGAAGCTGCCGATGAGTTTTCAGAGGCCTTTCCAAGGATGGAATGACCTTTCTGATCAAAACTGCACGTTCAATCAATCGCAACAGTAAACTGGAGGGAAATTTTGAAATACTGGCTAGGATAGTTAGGTCCACTGCCAAATAACTGAATAGTTTGGAAAATCAGAATCCCAGAAATGAAGCCCTGAGAAAATTCCACGTCCTCCCCTCAGTGACATTACTTTCTCCTTGTTATGTGCTCTCCATTTCTTAAAGACGAAACCCAGGAGAAAAGGCCGATGTTTGACACTTTCTGTCGTCGAGCTCCACCTTAGACGTGTAAAACCAGACGTGCGTGTGACAGATCCAACCAGAAGGAGGCGGCACCAGTTACCTACGGATTCTGGTCTCCGTCTCCCTCTAACCTCCCTCTATCCTGCCACTGGCATTTTCTTCCATCGCTCCCGATTCAGAGAACAGGACGCAGGCCCTTCACAACCCGGTCCAAGTCAACTGTTCCGAGTTCTAGCAAAACGCCTCAGTCCACTGATACCTGGTCAGACTAGCCAGCTAAATTGAGCGGTCTGAGCTTCGTAGATAAAAGATTCACCGAAGGACATAAACCACCAAAAAGAAAATCACTTCTTACACCAAAGGCAGAAAGATCAACTCTCTGTCGCTTGGGACTCTCTTTCTTTTGAAAAGTTTTAAAACATCTTATAGCACAAAAGGGAAAATGCTTTGCTATTTTGGGCCGCTTCTTTCACTCTTGTAAATGACATCTGCAATGTCAACATTCAGCGAGAGCTATTCGGAATTTGGCACTTTTAATTCATGTGAAAATGCCAATTCCACTGAGTAAAGAAGATATTAAAGTTATATTCAACATAAAGTGCAAATATTTCATCAAAGTGGGTTCAGGATAAAAATGTTAATTATATGTAAAAATTAAATACCACCTTATGAATCACTTGTCTTGGCATCATGGAAAATTTTTCAGCCTTCTCCAACAAGAGTGTCAGATCTTGGGAACAGTAATTCATAAATGGCCTGATTCCACCATGAGTCAGAGTGACTAAAATACTCTGGATACACGTTTCACTTATTTATATTGTTGGGTCAAAACCACAGTTTATTTAATTAGCTGTGTTGGTAACATTTTTTGAAAGAGCTCCATTTACCACTTTGTACCCTCTCAGTGTGCCCCCGTGTTGTTGACACAAGAGACTGCATAGACAGGATTAGTGGGGGTACTGTGGGTACCCTAAGTCTTCACAACCCACAAAAGGAAGCTCAATGAAATAGGCAGTCACCGTGATTCGATTAAAATGGAGCTTCTTCTCTTGAACAAATGGTCTGAGCACCAAGGCAAGACCTTACTGAATCTTTGACCCTGGGAATTCTAAAATAATCTCTTTCAGTGAACAAGGGCATTATATTGAAACCTGAAATTATGGGAGATTAGGAGAATGGAGCTTTTTTTTTTTTTTAATGCTTATTTATTTTTATTTATTTATTTTTTTTTAATTTTTTTTCAACATTTATTTATTTTTGGGACAGAGAGAGACACAGCATGAACGGGGGAGGGGCAGAGAGAGAGGGAGACACAGAATCGGAAACAGGCTCCAGGCTCCGAGCCATCAGCCCAGAGCCCGACGCGGGGCTCGAACTCACAGACCGCGAGATCGTGACCTGGCTGAAGTCGGTCGCTTAACCGACTGCGCCACCCAGGCGCCCCATAATGCTTATTTATTTTTAAAGAGAGGGCAAGAAAGCGAGTGGGGAAGGGGGAGAGAGAGGGGGAGAGAGAGGACCCTAAGCAGGCTCTGGGCTGTCGGCATGGAGCCAGACGTGGGGTTCAAATTCACAAACCGTGAGATCATGACCTGAGCTGAAATCAAAGAGTCAGATGTTTAATCAGCTGAGCCACCCAGGCGCCCCAAGAATGGAGCTTAATTAACAAAACCAAGCCATAAAAATCTAGAGTTTTAACATAACCTCTTTTACTTCCTTTGAAAATTGGAGTCCTTCAGATTATAGAAACTTAATCTCTGGTTTAAACTTTAGCGCTAAATATGAGCCAAAGGCTTAAGGACCCTGAAGCTAAGATTAAATAAGCACTTTTTCAAATTAGCCTTGATGGTTGTTACATTCATAAAATATTGGAAGAAGAGCTAGTAATCCATGTTGTTTTATCCTTTTAACTCATCGATGTTTCTCTTATTTGTGGTTTTTTTTTTATTTTTTTTTTTAACGTTTATTTATTTTTGAGACAGAGAGAGACAGAGCATGAACGGGGGAGGGTCAGAGAGAGGGAGACACAGAATCTGAAACAGGTTTCAGGCTCTGAGCGGTCAGCACAGAGCCCGACGCGGGGCTCGAACTAACGGACCGCAAGATCATGACCTGAGCCAAAGTCGGTCGCTTAACCAACTGAGCCACCCAGGCGCCCCTCTTATTTGTGGTTTAAAGTTAGCAGTGGAGGGGATCTTCTGAGGTCTTTAGTGACACCTGGGACTTTACCATGTTTCGACTTTCGAAATTGATACTCAAAATAATAAATAAAAAATATTGATCTCTACCCGCACAGTTACTGCCTACTATTTTGGTCTAGGTATATCGATTTAAATGTGAAGCAACGTTTCTAAGTTGGGGCAAGGTGAATCTAATCTTTGAAAATGTGAGGGCAGAAAAAATGCCCTAGAGGCCCGCATGACAGTTCCTGTATGGCTAAAATATCATCTATGTAAATGAGGAAAACTAATAGGTATTCACCCGAGTGGAATGTAAAATTAGCCATAAAATCTCTGGCTGTGAAATGCTTATCATTTCATTAGCTATTGTTCCCAAAGGAATAGTGAAAATCCCTATATGTCACTTTGAAATGAAAAAAAAAAAAAAAAAAAAAAACAAACTTTGATTTCCTTTTTACTTCTAAATCTGCTGTTTATATCTTTCTTTTAAAAACCGTATCCTCGTTTGAATGACCGTGGGAAGGCACGGGCTAAAAATGAAAATTTCTTAACCTAAGGTTTCATTTAAAATATTGTTGGCCTGGCATTGCAATGTTAGTTTCAACACCCAGTGATAGTTTACGGGATAGCCATTAAGCAATGAAACTTACTTCCATAATCTATCACTGGTTCCCTTTACTGTGCTGTTAAATACCACTAGGGTTTTAGTGCTGAGACGTTTCAGGAACTTATCATTCAGATGTGGTACACAGAGAAGTTTGGTTTATAAAGAAAACCTTTGTTTTCATTTCATTCCTAATCAGTAGATATGCTTCATTAGGCCCCGCTTGACTCACAGAATTCTCGGTGGTGCTTCGAAGATTAAATCACAGCAAAGAATTATTGGCATAAAGGTGGTTCTGCTGAAAGCGGCCGGGTTCTAGAGGACCTGCCTCGCTACCAGGAAAATGCCATCCAAATCCGTCTTGTGAATTGTGAATCCATCGTTTCTTGTGAAAAGTATATTCGTAGTTTCTACTGCGCTTCTCACAGCTGTCGGCAGCCAGATGGCACTTTTTGTTGTAACTGAGATACTGGATGAGGAACTCCTCACTCCTTCCACAGAGGTTCCACTGGCAACCGCTGATATTTTTTTTACTGTCTCCGTGGTTTTTGCCTTTTCCAAAAGGCAAGTATCCATGAAGAGATAATCCACATCATATTTTGTGGGTATCAACAATCTACAAGCTGATTCTAAAGTGTATACGGAGAATCAAAAGAAGACCCAGAATAGCCAACATAATATCGAAGGAATAAGAACAAAGTGGGAGGACTAATGCTACCTGACTTCAAGGTCTACCACGAAGCTACATCAACCAAGACAGTATAGATAAATGAAAAAATATATAAGCCGAGACATAGGCCTACATAAACACAGCCAAGTGTTCTCTGACAAGGAAGCAGAGGCAGCACAGCGGAGCAAAGACGGTCTTTGCGACAAATGGTGCTGGAACGGAACATCCACATGCAAAGAAAATAAATAAATAATAAATAATAATCCAGACACGGATCTTACACCTTCCACAAAAATTAACTCAAAATGGAGCAGAGACCTAAACGCAAAACACAAAACTATAAAAACCCTAGAAGATAATCGAGAAGAAAACCTAGATCGACCTTGGGTATGGTGATGACTTTTTTTTTTTAATGGTGATGACTTTTTAGATACAACACCAAAGATACGATCCATGAAACAAACAACTGATAAACTGGAATTCATTAAAATCAACATCTTTTGCTCTGCAATAACAGTGCCAGAAGAATGAGAAGGCAAGCCACAGACTGGGAGAAAATATTTGTAAAAGACACATGTGACAAAGGACTGTTGTCGAAAAGATACAGAGAACTTTAAAACTCAACAATAGCAATGCGATTAAAACATGGGCCAAAGACCGTAACAGACACCGCACCAAAGAACACATACAGATGTGCACGTCATACGTCATCAGGGAAATGCAAATTAAACCAACAATTAGATGCTACTCCTCCCTGTGAGAAGGGTCAAAATCTAAGAACACGGACAACAGTAAATGCTGGTGAGACTGTAGAGCATCAGGAACTCTTCATTCATGGCTGGTGGGAATGCAAAATGGTAGAGCCACTTGAGACGACAGCTGGACAGTCTCTTACAAAACTAAACACACTCTTACCACATGATCCAGCAACCACACTCCTTGGCATTCGCCCAAAGGACCTGAAAACTTACGTTCATACCAAAGCCCGTATGTAGATATTTGTAGGGGTTTTATTCATAACGGTCAAAACTTGGAAGAAACCAAGATGACCTTCAGTAGGTGAATGGGTAAGTAACCTGTGGCACATCCAGACAATGGAATATTATTTGGTACTAAAAAGAAATGATCAAGCCATGAGAAGACATAAAGGAAACTTAAATACTTACTACTAAGTGAAAGAAGCCAATCTGAAAAGGCTACATACTGTATGATTCCAAACATATATCATTCTGGAAAAGGCAAAAACCATGGAGACAGTAAAAAAAAAAAATCAGTGGTTGCCAGGGGCTGGGGAGAAGGAGGGATGAATACACAGAGAACAGAAGATATTTAAGGCACTGAAACTACCCTGTATGATATCGTAATTGTGACTACATGTCATTATATGTTTGTTTGACTCACAGAATGCACAGAACAAAGGTGAGCTCTAACGTAAACCAGGTTCCTTAATTGTAACAAATGTACCACTCTGGTAGGTGATGTTGATAATGGGGAGGCTATGTATGTGTGGGGGCAGAGGGTAACAAAAAATCAATCTACCTTCCACTCAATTTTTCTGTGAATCTAAAACTGCTCTAAAGAATGACGTCTGGGGGCGCCTGGGTGGCTCAGTCGGTTAAGCATCCGACTTCGGCTCAGGTCATGATCTCGCGGTCCGTGGGTTCAATCCCCGTGTCGGGCTCTGTGCTGACCGCTCGGAGCCTGGAGCCTGTTTCCGATTCTGTGTCTCCCTCTCTCTCTGCCCCTCCCCCGTTCATGCTCTGTCTCTCTCTGTCTCAAAAATAAATAAACGTTAAAAAAAAAAATTAAAAAAAAAAAGAATGATACCTGTTAAACAATAGCACCAACAAAAAAAGTATAATGTTCATAATGCTAGATCATTAACTCATTATTTAGTAACCATGTGATCCATTAAATTATACACAATACTATTTTGCCTGTTGTCATTTTATATGTAATAGTTTCATTTTCTTAAAATGTTAGCTCCGTGGGGCGCCTGGGTGGCGCAGTCGGTTAAGCGTCGACTTCAGCCAGGTCACGATCTCGCGGTCTGTGAGTTCGAGCCCCGCGTCGGGCTCTGGGCTGATGGCTCAGAGCCTGGAGCCTGTTTCCGATTCTGTGTCTCCCTCTCTCTCTGCCCCTCCCCCGTTCATGCTCTGTCTCTCTCTGTCCCATAAATAAATAAAAAAAACGTTGAAAAAGAAAAAAAATTAAAAAAAAAAAT